TACATAGACCTTTAATCATTGTCGTATAAGAAATAACATTAATTTTCATGCCTTCACTTTGCAAACAAGAAAACAATTCTCGTGCATCATTCAGTTTTCCAAACCTACACAATCCATCTAGTACAATATTGTAAATAACAATATCGAGATCAAAATTCATCTTCTCCATCTCCCTGAACAATGACATTGCCTCCAAATGAAAATGACACTTGAATAGGCCATTCAAAATAATGGCACAAGTTTGGAGATTAGGAAGTTGGTCATGCTTGTGCATTATAGAAATCAATTCTTTCGCAGCAATTGGTTTCCCTGCTTTACAAAACCCCCCGATAAGAATGCTCCAAGTGACAACATTCGGACTTAGTCCACAATTAACCATTTCACCCAAGAGATGCATAACCTTATTTATGTTTTTAATTTTACACCATCCATGAATTAATGAATTATAAGTTGCAACAGTTGGTATGCTGCCCTTCTGAATCATCAAATCAAATACTTTCACAGCATCCTCCATTTGATTTAGCAAACAATGAGCACTAATGAGTGAAGTATATGTGACAACATTAGGTTCCACTCCAAAATGAACCATGAAGTCCATTATACTTTTAGCCCTTGCAATCATCCCCTCTTTGCAAAAATTGTCAACTAAAACGTTAAAGGTTCGCACATCTGGCATGATTCCCTTTCGCATCATATGACCCAGTAGAGTTGCAGCCTCTTTCCATCTATCAAAATTACAAAGGCCGTGAATTAAGGAAGTGCAAGTGACGAGATCATGATGAATACCTTTGCGAGTCATTTCTGAAAACATATCCAAAGCCTCCCATACCTTGCCATCCTTGCAAAGGCCGTCAATAACTGTATTCCAAGCAATAACGTCCAAAGAGTGTTCCATCTTCTTGAGACATGAGATAGCAGCAAAAGTGTCTCCGACCTTACACAACCCATTAATTATTGCACCATACGTGTAGGAGTCAGATTGATATCCCAAGTCTTCCAAATGCTCCACCAACCTCACTGCTTCAGCCACATTGCCTTCTTTGCAAAACCCATTAACGATGGTGGTAAGAGTCACGATGTTGGGCTCCACACCAATTTTGAACATAAGCCCCAAAATAGAGAAGCCATACACTGTGTGATTTAAACGGCAGACACAATTGATGACTATAGTGAGCGTGTAAACATCTGGTTTCACTCCAAGGGAATACATGTGTTTGGTAAGGGAAATCACAGTTGTGTAATGTTTCATCTTTGCAATGATGCCGAGCAATAAGTTGAAGTCCTTGTTACCATGGAAAGGCTTCATGGCAATCATTTGGTGGAACAAATCCAAAGCAGTGTCCACATTTCTGATGTTTCTGATGGAATCCAATAGTTTTGTTCTGCGTGTATCACTACCACTGTCTAAGGTGGAGAAAGTTGAAGGAGAATGCGATGGGCGAAGAAGGAAATCTCTGGGATTAGGAATTGAACCCAAGTGGCGAAGAACTCTTCCTCGCAACATCCCTAACACCATCGAAGGAAAGAAAACCTAGAAATGCAAATGTGGAAAGAAAGAAATGTGCAAAAGGAAAGTTGTAGATGAAGTTGTATATGACACGTAATAATAAGTTTCTAAAAGACTGTTATAATATTATATTATTAAATATAAATTAAAATATTATATATTATTAATTTACGTGCTTATCCTCGTATCTTCTCAATTAATCTTCACCATCAGAGGTAGGAGCACGTGGAATCGACGCTAATAACGGCGTGAAGATTGTTTATTAAAGAAAATATATAAGATTGTTTATTAAGATTGCCTAATAAAGAAAAAAATACATGAAAAATAAAATAAAAGCTTATTTTTTATTAATAATTTTATTTTTAAATATTATTTAGAATTATTTTATTAGAAGTTTAATATTTTATAAATAATGTTATTCAAAAATAATAAATAGGAATTATTTTTATTATTATTATATTTACTAGAGGGGTAGAGGCACGAAGTGCCTCTAATAGTTATTCACTAATAAAATATTAGAAAGTTGTGTATAATTATTTAAAGAAAATTTAAGATTTTTTTTACATCTGGGGGTATAATGGTCCACTAAAAAATGGAGACCAAAAAGCGGTTACATCTCTTATATTCCCTTTATAATAGTTATAGAATAGTTATAGATTTACTTTTATTATTATTAATATTATTGGGTTTTCTTTTTATAAATAGTTTTATCTAAAATAAATAATAATAATTATTATTATATTTATATATTATTTAGATTTTAAAAAATATAATTATTTTTATTTTATATATATATATATATTACTTTTAAATAATTCATCTTAAACTTCTTCAAGTTCAATGGTAATTACAAGCTTTATGCTAAAGAGATGTAGTAATATATTTTTGGATGAGTCTAAGTCTTTGTTTGGTAAAGAGGAAAAAAGTGAGGGTGAAAAAAAGAATAGAAGCGCGAAGAAATATAGGAAAATAAATAAGAAATAAAGTAAAAATTAAGTTTGTTTAAAAAATAGATTAGAAATAAGATAGTGATTTACTTTTTATTAATAATTTTATTTTTAAATAATATTTAAAAAAATTAATAGAAGTTTAACTTTTTATAAATGATTTTATTCAAAAGTAATAAATATGAATTATTCTTATTCTTATTTTTATTATTATTATATTTATTTATTTATTATTACTATTGGGATTTATTTTTATAAATAATTTTATCTAAAAATAATAAATAAATAATATTATTATATTTAGTTATTATTAAGAGTTTATAAAAACTAAACTTCTCCACATTTCTCCTTATTTAAGAGGGAAAGTATTTTTGTGGGTCCCACTCAAATTTTTACAATTTCTTTTCTACTTTTTTTTTATCAAATACCTTATCATGCTTTACTTCCTCTACATCTCCTAAGGTGAAGTACTTGTTAAGTGATATATGGATGAATCATCAAAATTTATCATTAGATATAATAATAAAAAATCGACGATTAAGATTGATGACTTGTTATCTGTTAATTATCCAGTTTTTGTTTACAAGCTTATGACTTTCATGCTTCAACGTTGCACCCTAGCACCCACCTCAACATTGTTCATTAGCAAGAATCATAAATGAAACTTCGAGGAAGACTTAATATGTAATTGAAGAAGGTGAAAAAGCTTTAAATTTATTAGTTATTACTTTAGAAAAAAGAAAAACAATGTGTTTTAGAGGTTGGTCATTGAATGGTGTTCCTCCATAGACTTGCATGCAAAAAATAGGATTGACAATCTTGGTTAGCTTTTATCAATATAAGGCAACTAACGGTAGGGATTCATAGCAAGAAGAAAAAGAAGTTAATATAAATTTAAACTAAAACAATTTTAAAAAATAAAATATAAAAAAAAATTATCCAATTAAAGACCTACTACTACTGGTAAGGCGATAACTTTGATGCCTCATTTGTGACTACTCACCTTACTACTTCATTGTAGAAGTTTCCTATATTTTTAACCTTTGAAGGTATATTTCTCATGAGAGATTCTAGCATGGAGTAGTGTGCATGTGCCTCCTCCATGAGGTAGTAACTTTTGTAACTTTAAAGCGGTACGGTGCATTAAAATAAAGTGCCTCAAGCATAACAATTTATAATAAAATTGAGGAGAATTTTTAAAATAATTAAGCAAAATGTTAATTTACAATAATATTTTCGACCCCTTTTCTCATTCTTTTTGTACAGATAGTTTATAAAACTCAAATAAGTTGTTTCTCCTTTGATTGTTGTCTAATACTCTTATACATTAGTTAGAGTTGGAAAAAGGTATTTTAGTCAGAGTTAGAAAAGAGTAGGTTGAACTACTTTGTTTGAATAAAAATTGTAGTGATATTTAGGACTTGATGTTTGCTATCTTAAAACAACAAATGTTTTCAAGGTTTGTATTCGTAAAACTAAGTTTTCTATATGTAAGGTCTTGTTTGAAGGATTTCTTAGACTCCATGTATTTTAAGTACTCATTATTAAAGTTAAATACTAACTTCACTTTTTTTGAATTGACAAGTAATTGTAATTTCAAGAATTAATGTGATTTGTTATAGATGAGTAACATATACTTTATCTCCTCTTGTTATATATATGTTGAGTATAGTGACATAGGAGGTAGTGTTGGCTTAGCTTCAAAGTCAATAACAAGAATGATCTTTGAAGGCACATGGTCTACTCCAGAGCACAAGACTATGTTAGGATTTTTACCAGGGTGTTATTGGTACCTAATAAAGTCAACCGAGTACATGTGAGGAATTTTTCTCTCAATTGGCATGATAAGCAATTTTTTTCTTTCATTTTCTTTTCTCTTGCGGAAGTGAGAACTAGGGAATTTTTTTTGTGTCCAATCATGTCTTGATTGAAATTCATTAATAGTGAGCTTGGATTTGAGATTTTTAAGAGGGAAAGTAATTTAAAAGGTAATCTAAAATTATTGTTCGATAAATTCTTTGTTTAGAAAATTTTTCCCCCAAAAATTAAAGTTTACAAGATTTTAATGAGGATTTTCATTTATCTAAAAACTAAAATTTTTAATTTCCAACCTAAAAGAAGGAATTTGGAAATTCTTTCTCCCTCCCTCACTTGTGTGTCTCTCTTTTTCACTACCATCTCTACATTTCTTCTCTAATGTAGGGTTTGTTGGTTGATCTTTGGTAATTTATTTTGTTTATTTGGTAAACTTAAATTTGATTCTTCGATTGTGTTTTTGATTTTTGTTGTTGTTGTTGGTTATTATTAATCTCTCTATAATATTTCTAATAACATGTTTTCCCATTGTCTGTTATGATTGAATTTCAATTAGTGTTTCTCATATCAATATTAGTGGATATGATTGAATTTGACATGTTACTGAGATTTTGGAGTTTCCTTTAAAATCCTAGTTAAGTGGCCTTATAGTAGGGTTATGTTTTATGTCTCTTGTTTAAGTACACATGTTGACGAAAATTAGTTTAGAAAAGAGAAAACGCTTACAATTTAACAGTTGTATGAACTATTTTTCATAATAAAATACTTCAAGCTATTAATGTGTAGTATCATACAATTTAAGTACATTGATAATACATTTCAACCTATTGTTGTTAAATTTAAGGGTTTGAAAATCAAATGAGCCAAACATGTTTTTTCCATTCAGCTATGTGATCCATTGATTCCTACTTTTGGACCATGGGTAACACTTGAGACTTGCTATAAGAAAAATGGAGCACCATGGTAAAATTGTAGCTTCTATCCTCTCTTTAATATTGAGGTGCCAACAGAAAGACCAATAATTATCCCTCCATTATTGCACCTGAACATGATAGAAATCACTGGGAGAATATGCAAATTTAAAATGTCTATGACTTTGAAACCTCAATTTGTTAGATCCAACATGCATCTAGGCATGGCAATCTAACCCACCCCCGTGGGTACCCGCCCGAACCCGCCCCGATTTGGATGGGGAAAACCCATGTTTATCGGATTCGGATTCGGGTTCGGGTTTTTCCCGATTGATAAAATCGGGAGCGGGGGCAGGGGCAGGGGGGGGGATGTTAATCCCCCCCCCGCCCCCACCCCCATACCTGCCCCCGCCCCTGCCCCCGCCCCGCTTAATAATTAATTAAAAATTATTTTTATATATATGTAAACCAAAATTATAAATATTTATACGTAAAAATTTATATTATTTTACTTTTCTTTTATTTTTTTAAAAATTATTCATATTTATTTAAAAGAAAAAAAGAAGAAAAAAAATAGGAGCGGGGGCAGGGGCAGGGCGGGGAAACCCTAACCCCGCTAGGAATGGGGATGGGGACCTAGATTTTATCCCCGGCGGGTATCGGGGGCGGGGGCGGGGAACGTAAAACCCGCCCCACCCCGCCCCGTTGCCATGCCTATGCATCTCACTAGTGATTTTGTTTAGGAAGGACATTAGAACAATTTATATGAAATAACTCCTTACATGATCAAGTCTCAACAATTCTAATGGAAAAGAAGATTTTGCCATGGAGCAATGTGATAGGCCATGTGGTAGTGAAGGGGAAATCAAAAACCTCTGAATTTTCAATATTATTTCATTTTTCTATGACTAATGCCTGCAGATTGCGCAAGGGAAAGGCCTGTACAAGGCCTGAAGATGAGGAGACTAAAACCGTCGACATCCATCGCATGGGTTTGCTTGGAGAGAGACTCAATCGTGCACTAATATGACCACTCTCGTTAGAGCCACCATCTCGAGAAGCTGATACTCGATCTCCACCTGTTGTGGTGCCACCTCCACGACCAAAGCAGAATGGGGAGGTTCATCATGTATCAATTCCACCACCACCTGCAAAACACATGGAGAGGGAGAGGTTTTTTCAAGAAAACAAGGATGGTTCTAATTTGTCCGGTTACATGAGAGGCCTATCCTTGCATAGTCGTAATGGCAGCAACTCTCACAGTGGAAGCTTTGATTTTAGTGACTGATCTCTTGACAAACAGAAAAGGACCTATTTTAGCTTTTTTTTCTTTCATTTTTGTCTAAATTTGGAGTTGGTATTATTCAAGTTGTGAGGGGGTGGTGATTTCTCATTTAGTCTTGGTGA